ATTTTTGGAGAAGAGTAGCAGTAGGTTGTCCTTTGGCTGCCTGCCTCCGTGGCTTCTCTCTCAGCAAACGCCGACACTCCCACCTTCCGCTGCCTCTGCTGAGCTTTGGGCGGGAGCGGCTGCTGGGCCGGCTCGAAGGGAGCAGGTGGCGACCCTCCTGCAGGCAGTCCGCCCAGCCTGACGGACAGCCCGATTGAGGCCGTTAGGCTGAGATCGGAGCGGCAAAGGCCACCCCGCCCCAGCGGCCCCGGGACCGAGCAAAGAGGGGCTGCGCCCCCGCTCACCTTCCTCCAGCCTGGACAGGATCTGGATAATCCGCAGCTGGATCCGGAGCGGCTCCTCCAGGGCCAACGGGCGCGCCAGGACGGCTGGGGAACAAGGCAAAGGCGGTCAAGCGCTCCCGCAGGAAGGCCCCGGAGCCCGCCCGGATGTCTGTGCGGGAGCCCCGCGGCTGACCCCTCGCCGCCGGCCTCCCCCGCGATGGGCCTCCCGGGGCGATGGGCCTACCGGTGAGGACGTCGCGCAGCTCCCGAAAGTCCCGGCTGTTCCCGGCCCGGAAAGCCCGCAAGGCCTGGTGGGCGTAGAAGAGGACGGCCCAGCGGTTCGCCTCCGCCTCCAGCTCCATCCTGCGCGCCTCGGCCGCCGCGGCCATCGCGGCCATTCCCGCCCAAGTGAGGCCACCCGCGCGCCGGAAGGCCGGCCGGAAGCTTTCCTCCTCCCGCCTCGGGAGCGCCTTTCCCAGAGTGCTTCGCGGGGCCTCTGGCGCGCAAGCGCACTGAGCGCCTGACGCCGCCTCGGACCCCCCCCTCCCCCAGGGGCGCCAGGCGGAAGGCCCGCCCACACTCAGCCCAGGGATTGGAACCATCCCCAAAGGCGGCCGCCTGGCCTGGCCGCGCGTGGACCTCAGCCCGGAAGGCGCCCTCCTCGAGTCCTGGCGGAGACCCGGGCAGCGGCAGCGAGGACCATTCACCAAGCGGTGTCCCATTGCTGCAGGGCCTGGGAAATGCCACTCAGCCCCGTGTATCCCGGGAGGAAGAAAACAACATGCCGCCCATCTTGATGGGCTCCGGCTTGAACCCCTTTTTCATAGTGGACGATACACCCGCAGCCTCCCACCAGATAAGATCCAGCCAGCAAGGGGGGGGGCTGCCCCATGCCACTCCAGGGACGCCTCCCCTCCGAGCCCTCAAGCCTCTTGCGGGAAGGTGAAGCACATCAACCAGGGCTCAGCCGGCCCTCTCGCATCACACAAACCTTTTGCTGGAAGGCCCAGTTTTATGTTGGTTTCATAATCGCTGCCATATTCTATATGAGGTTTTGACATTTATTCTCTTGCTTTGATTATGTTGGTCTGCAGTTGTTTTATGATGCTTAATTTGCTGTTGACTAATGCCCTGATTGCTGTAAAACAAGCTGTCCTTATACTGCAAATTACTCAATACAAAATGTTTTATTCTTTAATTTACATAACATATTAAAGGCATGGCAACAGTCAATTCAACACATCTACAGCACAACAACCCAACACATTTAAGGCAGAGTCTGCCCTCACATTCACTTCAATTCCAACTTTTTCATTGTTCTCCAGCGGTCCTTGATCATCACAGGGGTGCGATCCTTAAAAGGATAATTTTGAGAAATAACTTTCCAGCTTCCTTCCCCAAATTTCTCTACACCTTTCTTGATCCACATAGTCTCTTTTGAGGACCACTGCAAAAGAAACAATGGAAACCCTCATGAATAAGCAAGATTGGCAAACCTCATTTGCAGCTTAATTCTGCTGAAGAAAAATTAATAAAAATATAGAAAAAGAAAAAGATTCCCAGGGAACTCTATGTACCCATAACAGTTTTAACTTTATATTGGCCAAAACAAAACCTTAGTCTATGTGGAGATGATACTAGCTTTGCCAATTCTGCGGGAGGCTGAAAAAGCTTGAAACTGCAGCGGCCACAGCAGAGAAGTCCCTCAGCAGCCATTTCCCACATTCCTGCCCTATCAGTAGCAATAATTATCTAGATCAGGGGTCGCCAACCTTTTGACCTCGGGGACCACCAAACTCGTAATTTTAAATCCCGAGGACCACTAATACATTTTTTTTAAAAAAGACAATATATTTAATATAAATTTTTATTTTTTTATATGAAATATACATTTAATATTAAAAAAATAATTTTTATTTTGTACACACACACACACACAAATGCTTATTTAATTATAACAAAATTGTAAAGGCTTAATCATAACTGGGGCAGAGCAAAGGGAAATGGGGGCCTCTCTCATCCTGGGGGTGGGGGTGGGGGAGGATTTAAGAAGCCACGGCTCCCCCTCAAAGGAAGAAAAGCAGCGCCATCTCATATCTCCCCCAAGTCAGAAGAAACCTCTCCCTCCTTTGCCAGGTGTGGCTGCCTGGAATTGGGGGAGGGAAGGAGGGCCGGGCTCCTAATAACCAGGCAACCCCCCCCCCCCCACTTCAGCCTCCATATAAGAAGAGGACTCCCCGAGGCTAAGCTCCAGGTTTCTCCCGCTGCTTCCAAGCAGAGAAGGATCCCTCCCTGTGTGGAGGATGAAGGGAGGGGGGGTGTCAAGTCCAGAAAAGCTGGCCTGCACAAACAGCCCGTCTTCCTCAGCGCTCTTTTGGTCTGGGCATTTGGGCTCCCCCCCCCCCCCCAATCCAATGCCAAAGGAAAGCCAGCCGGGCTTCTCCTTCCCTCCTACCCTTCCCCCCACTCAGTCTTACTTTGGGACAGAGCAGAGCGCACTGGAAACGTGTTGGCTTTTCCAACACACCTTTCCCCGGCACTCGCTCGCAATTCTTCGCATTCCTCCAGGCCTGGCTTGCTGGGGGGGAACAGCAGCCCTGACATCTCTGCTGCCCCCCCCCCCCCGCCCATGGAAAAGAAAGCAAGCAGAAACAGCACTCGCTGGGGTGAAAGAGCAGAGATCGGAAGGCACAGGCAACAGAAAGGAGCACTTTTCAAAGGCGGCAGCTTCCATCTTCTCTTGCCTGTGCCTTCCTCGATCTCAGCTCTTCAGCCCCAGCAAGAGCTATGCTTCTGCTTGCTTTTCTTGTGCTTTCCCTGGACAGCGATGGCAGTCCCTACAGCCCGCGGCCATCGAGGAAGAGTCCAGGCCAGGAGAGGCTAACTGGAAGGTGCGGGAGTGCCGCACAAATGCAAATAGTGCAGCGTTCCTGCACCTTCCAGCCATCTCCATTGCCGCTTCAGCCCACCTGTGCCGCCAGCCCCCTCTTGCTGCAATAGCACTATTACCTCGTCCTGCCCGGCAAGGGGTGCGCTGCTTTTTGCAGCTTTGCACTCAAACGCAGGGTGGGAGCCAGTGGGTGGGCAGGCTTTTTGGGGGGGGGTCTTTGGGGGGACATTTCTCTGCGGCCCACCAAAATTTTCTCACGGCCCACCGGTTGGTGACCACTGATCTAGATTGTCCAATTATTTTTAGAAAGATGAAATGAGCAATGAGCAATTTGTCTTGTTTAAAAAAGTCTCTGCTTGGGTTAGGTTACATTTACCTTCTTCTTAGCCCCAGAAGTGCTGGTACCAACTGACAACTCTGATTCTGAAAAGAATGAAAAAGAAATTAGCACCTTTGCAGAGGTTGAAAGGCACAACTATTACCTGGGGGATTATTTCTGCTATACACAGCCCCAGTGCTTCTGCCTTCCTGACTCAGATTTCAGGTGGTTTTGCCAGGAAAACATTACACCAGAAACGCAAGATAGATGGGTATTGCCTTCCAGGTGCAGAGAGGCTGCCCCACTCCTTTGAAGGACTCCCCTTCTGCCTCTCTAAGGCTTTAGCTGTCCCCCTTTGGCAACCTCCATTCCCCCACACTCTCCCCAATAAGCAGGCGGCGCCTGGCCAAGGTGGCCTTTCTGCTGGCTTAGAAGAAATAAGGCTGAGGCTCTAAACTTGAGACCCACAAGGCCCAGCTTTTCCCAGAAGCCTCCACTCACGCTGGTCCATGAAGATCTCGTCCTCATCGCTCCAGGATTCCTTCTCTTCCTGCAGAGCAGAAAGAGCTGCTTGCTTGGCCTTCCTGAAGCAGAAAAGAAATCCCCGTTACAGGTGAGCCCCTCCTGGGCTCTGAGAGCATCAAAACGCTTTCAGCCACAGAGGTGCAAACATCCAGGGGAAGTTGTTCTTATCCCAAATCACAACAGGAGTTCAAAAATAAGTTCCTTCAATCATCCTGATCCTCACCCAAAGTGGAATAACTCTGCTTGGGCACATCCCTCCCCCTTTAGGGAAATGACTATGGCCACACCCTGCAAATTCCCCAGATCTGCAAGAACAGGCACTCAGTGCCAGCATTTCCAAGACTGCAGCTTTGCCACCACTCCTAAAAGAGACCCAAACGGAGTCCTCCATACCTGGAACATGGGCGCAAGGCATTTGGAAGGATCTCTTCACACTCTGATGACTGGACCTCCAAAGTCATAAGTGGCTTCATGGCCAAATGCCTGGCAGGGGAATGCTTGAAATGCTTCTCTTTTCCAACCTGCATGTCACCTATAGAGGACGGGGAACCGTTCGCCTTCGGGTTGACATCACATTGGACAGCAACATTATGTATCTTCTGGCGCTTGGCTCTGGGGGAGCCAGAAGGCAAGAGTGGCCC